GGCGGCGACGGCCGCGACGGTCACCGTCGTCGCGCCGTCGCGATTTTCGCGATCGACCGCCTCGTTCGTAGCGTTGCAACGCGCGGCCGCGGCCTCGTCATCGTCGTCGTCCCCGTCGTTATTGTTGTTATTACCGTTGCGATACCGACGGTGCCTTCCACTACTGCGACGATTGTTGTTATTGTTGTTTTGACGATCGAGGAGAAGCGCGCCACTGGAGGGTGGCCACCGCGAGCCACCACCTGCTAGGGACTTTGCCGTCGCGGTGACGGACATCGCGACACTGCGGCCCATCGCCGTTTCGCGATGTTCGCAGGCGCGCCTGCGCCCCACGCTCCCGTTGGTGGGGACAGCGCTCACCCTCCCACCCTGTTCACCACGTTCACCGGTGGTCGCGAGCGACTCCGCGCCGCCGGCTCGCAGGTACTCCACTTCTTCCAGCCACGACCAATCCACCTCGGAACCTTCCGAGCAAACGTCCTCATTCGGTTTGATCGCTGATTCTATTTCCGGCGGTTGTCTGCAAGAACAGGAAAATGCGGGTGTAATCTTTACCGGATTGAGTTATGCGGGTATCACCACTTCCACGAAATGTAAACGATTAACCAGAATGCTGGTGAAACAGCTTTCTTTTGTACTAATACACTGAGAAAAAAGTTACTGTTTTAAAAAAATATTACTTGGTTTAAAGATTTCATTTAGTTTAACTTTTAGTTAAACTTTAGTTCATAATTGTATTTCAAGATTGAAAAAGATTTCGGCGCGTGATTTGCAGAATTGGATACGTAATATATAAATTCAAATATTTATTCTAAGATCTGCTTTAACCGAAAATAGGATTTCTCTTACTTAATTAGATTTATTTTCATCGGTCAAATTTCATATAATTGTTTAAATTTTAGATATTATTAGAAATTAATTTTAGAAATAATTTTTTTTTATTATTCAAATTTTAATTATATTAACTGCGTTTAGCAGAAAAAGTAGCTTATTTGCAACTGTTGAGATTCTTTAATCAGTTTTTATCCTTAGTTTCTCATTGGCTCTAAATGCATAAATCAATCATATTGAAAAATCATACGTACAATATTTACAAAAAGGTTTTTTCTGCTGAACACAGCCATTAATAACCAATCGATTTCTTTCAGGCAACATCTTTCTCTTCAAGTTGTCTTTCACGTAAAAAATTCGAACAATCTCCTTTTGACGCGGAAGCAACAGGTTTTCCCCGCTTTTCTCACTAAACTCGAAAAATTTTCGTATTAAAGCGCGGCAGATCAATGAACTCGATTTTATTTTTTCCGATTTTACATGTCCGCACTAAAGCTTTGTATTAATAAAAATAGCGCATTTCTTTTGCCGATAACCGCGTCTTCCTATAATCGCTTTCCTACTACATTTTTCTATTGGCTACTTCGATCATCTTGGACCTAATTGTTTTATCGTCCAATAACTGCTCATGCTCGTTTCTACCAATATAAATTAACTTTAATCTTTCAATTAGTTCAACTTACTCTTCATATTTTTCTAATTCTTAAAACTAGAAAATCAAGAGTTAATTGAGCCGAAATTAAAATTAAACTACATTGTCAATTAAAAATGCTATGCCATATTTAACCATTTAATTTGCTGCAGCAGTCAATCTTTTTTTTCAGTGTAGAAATGGGCATTAATAATTTATGTGTAATATGATTGGTTATTATAGGTTCAATCTGATGGACTTTTGTGCTACTTTTATTAATATAGAGTCCGCACGCATCTTTCTTTCCTGAGACGAGATGGAAAGCAATGATAACAGTCCAACGCACGCCGAGGACAGCCTAACTAAAAGGAAGAGATTACTTCAAACGGGGACTTCCTGAACGGAAACCCCTTGTTTCTTGAGAGTAGCACGTGCCGCTTCGAGGGGTCCAAAAGCGTCACGGAAGGATAGACGAGAGGAAGAAGAAATGTCACCTTGATGCGGGTTCCACGCCTCGCGCACACGACCCCCGTATACCGTGTACCGTGACTTCCGGTATGAAGCGTAACGCCGGTGAGCGACCACCTAGTCCGCGCGACGCACCCAACGCTGTGCGCCAGAATGCACTCTTTTACGACGATCCCCGTGGGTTCCCGGCCTGCACCCCACATCCGTCCCGACATCGGCCACCGAGACGACGAAGGATAACAGGAACGCGCCCTACAAGCGTGTGGGAGCATAAACCGCGCATACCTGGTGGCATCGCGTCCGCCCACGTAGCTTCATCTACCCTCGGCGGGGAACGTCGCGCGATTACGAATTGTGGGAGGATAATCGTAGGAATGTGGGTGGAGAAGCTCGGTAATTTCTCCTCGTACCTCGAAACATTGAGTTGTTCGCAGGTGTGCGGCCGGGGGATGGAGGGGAGATAGTGGTTAGAGTAGATTACAGCAGATGATTCAAGTCTCTCGAGGAAAGAGGGGAAAATTATGAGAAAGTATGACTGGCGCTATATTTTTTTGCGTAACGCGCGCGTATATTTTATACGCAAAATAGATTATTTAAATTTATATTCAAGGAACTAATGTTTCACAGGTAGAACCTCACTTTTCGAGAAATATACCAAAAACAAATTTTGACTATATGTGTCGATGCTCTTTCATACATTGTAAAAAATAAAATGTTAATTTTAACTTAAAGGCGCATAGTGAACCTTCTGAGATATGCAAAAATGTTAAAATTAACATTTTACTTTTTACAGTATATTTGTATTTTATGCACTTGCTTATATAAAAACTGTATATTCAGTCATTATATAATGCAAATTTATTAATGCATTAAAATTTGTACGTCAATTTTATAATTGCATTAATGCCGTCTTTTCGTTTCATTTGAAAAGTCAGGATTTTAAGGTGTTTTCTAAAGATTAAAATGATGTCTCAAGTAACACAAATATAGATAACATTAATATTAAGTTGGCTTAATATTAAGCAATAATTTCGCTTATTTTTGGAAGGTGACGCAATTAATACGGAATAATTTCTACAATGATGGCACTAATAAATTTATTTAGATTTAGTAAATATTCATTTATATTTAACAAATATTTTGAGAAAGATGTTTTAACATTAAAAAAAAGTTTACTAATGTCAAGTTTTAAACATTTGGCATTATTTTGAATATGAAGAATAAAAATAAGTATTTTTGGCTGTTTTATTTCGACAAAAAATATGCTGCATGAAAAACAGCATAAAAAAAGAAACAGCAATGTGCCACAAAATTATTCTTATTCAACACATGTCAAATGTCCAAAACACAAACGATCTTAATAAAACTTTCTTTGCGCGTTGTCGTCCTTCAAAAAATATTTACTATAAATATAAATAAATATTTATTAATGTCGAGATTTTTTACTAGTAAGATAATTTTCTCTACAAAAGGCATATTTTTATGTCTAGAATTTATTTTCTTTGCTCAACCAAAAAATTTAGGCTATAATGTCTATCTACTCTACTTTCTTTTCTCTATATTCTTACGTCTAATTTAGTCGATGCAGAAGGCACGTAGTAATTCAAAATCTTTACAACAATAAGACTTTGGATTTAGCAAGTAAATTATTTAGCAGTGTTACGTGCCGTGGAAGCTTAATAATTTCTGATATCTTAGCATTGCTCGAGAATTGCTGAAGAATGTAAATTTAAATCATTATTTACGAGATAAAAAAGTGAAATGTAGACAAACGTGACTTCGCACTCTAAATACTCGTAAGCAAATTCTATAGGCGATTTACGCAACACCTTAATTGCATTTTTTTCTATTCCACCAATCTTACATTGAGTTAATTCCGAGTTTCTCTGACTGTGAATCGTAGATTTTTCATTTAAAAACTGCCTCGCATCGTGGACATGCAGCGAGGCATTGAGGGATTTCGTCACAAGGCAGTGCGCATAACTGCGACGCGGCTTTCCGGATGCGTAATGTCCAACCGACATGGCGCGGCTCTCACCTTATTGTGCGCGAGTCACGCGTGGGAAGTGTTTCGCCAATATAACAACTGAAATTTGTTGTTCAAATCCCGCATGTCTGCGAGAGAGGTGAGGCCGTATAACGTTCGTGCGCCCGATGACCCGACTGCTTTCGCATCGCCCGTGGCGGTCGCGTATCAATCCGCGGACCGACTTTCTAAATGATTGTGCCCTTTCCCAGCGAGTCTATCTATCGATAACAATATCGCCGTTATGTCGATGCTTCAGTGATCCGAAAAACATATTTTTGTACAAAATATAATTGCTGCTGATACAATTTTACGTCGTAATTGGCAAAACAGATTTATCAGGATTTAAGATTTAAGGAATGAAATAAAGTTGAATTCAAATTTTCAAACAAAACATAATTATTTAAGTGTTTACAGCGCAATAAATCTGTCTTGTAATTACAATTATAAATTGAGCTGTAGTTTAAATGCATTTTTTTAAGTGAAAACTTTTTTGGTATAAACATTAAGGTATTTAAAGTCTTATATTTATGTAATATCGTCTTAAGTACGATACGTCTTCAGACAAACATAAATCAATTACAGAATCGCATCTCACATTGTTAGATATTAAAGGGGTGGCAATCCAATCTCTCGAGTTAAAAAAGTAACATTTTGTTATTTTTAATTTCTATGTGCGTCAATGTAAATCAATCCATTTCGAAGTAAACAACGTCCAATTAACGTATACACTTATTAAATAATAAACAAAATTTGAGGTCGAATTTAATATATATTGTCTTAAATGAAATTAATAATAAACAACAAGGAGCATCAAATTAAATCTGTTTACTCTATTATTTTAATTAAATTAATGACATATTAAATACGAGCTATGACAACCTCTAAAAATGATTAAAAATAATTCAATTCGCGAGTACAATTTGACGTTATAAATTTAACAGTGGAGGACATTACTTAAAACAATTTTAAAATTAGAACAATCTATGAATACTAAGAATCTTCGTACGTTACTTATCCATGTTCTAATTTATATATGCTTATCGAATTTATTTCGAAAGTCAGAGATGAGTCGTGATATAGAAATCTTTGTGTTTTCAATAAATGAATTTTCCGCTCGTAGATTTCTTATTCTTTTCAGGAAAAGAAAGACCTATTCCTTTTCTACTTATTCCTTTATATTTCATTGTGTGTCTCTTTATCTTTGTACTTAACCACCTTGTTCTACGAATTGCATCTCCGACAAGCATTAAGCCTTAAACACAATTAAAACCACAAGCAATAGAAACAGGGAAATAACAAATTTCAACCTAGAAACTATGCATTCTGATATACCTACACAATTTTTGATAAATTGAAATTTTTTATTCCTTGTTCCAATTGTCTGCAGTGCTTTAATTTCATTGTTTGAGGGAAGTGTAACTTGTAAGACAAGGTGGATAAGTACAAAGATAAGATAAAGAGACATATAATAAAATATATCGTATTTAAGGCTTTACGGCGCCGGAGACGCGACTATTCGCGGATTAATCCGGGGAATGACTTTCTAAACACTGCCGTGCCTTTTCTTGACGCGCCCATATCAAACGGCGATATCGCGGTCGTATTATAATGGGCGACAAAGATCTCTTTGAGCGGTATCAGTACCGCACCACTATTGTTATTAATTATTTCCTACGCGTGGAACAAAAGCGGCTGTTTCGCTATTGTTGCGAAGGTTGAATTGCTCCTGGAACACGGCATTAACGAGCAAACGGAAGAGAATTACAGAGAATTACAGGTACGTTATAGGATGGCGGCGATTAATAAATAATCCAATCCGCGAGAAAAAGTAGACCATAATAATAGCTTCTTCATTCGTTACCAAAGATAACGATAGTTCATTCTCATGTATTATTTCGTAACGAAATAGGAGCGAAAATATATGGCTTAACCTTTAGAGGTCTGCAGAGCCATGATAAGTTATAACGTTTCTGATAGTAAAAAGAAAATATTCTTATAATTCAGTAAGAAGTTTTAAAGTTGCTAATTACGAATCTAACAGCAAGATCACAAAGTAAAAAATGGTTAAATTTATTATTAAGCTATAGATTATTTTTATTGATATATGTTGTTCTGGCCTAAAGTTGGTGTTTATAAATTTTTGGAATCGCTAATTATAAAATTAAAATCAACACAAATCTATAAGATCACACATTTTAAAATAGCGAATCCAACATGGATGACCAAAATATTGCAAAAGTTAAAATTTAATTTATGCACTAAAAAAAAGATTGGCTGCTGCAACAAATTAGATGGTAAAATATGGCATAGTATTTTTAATTGGCTGCAGCAGCCAATTTTTAGTTGCGTTAGCCTATCTGCAATGTCAATATGTCAGTATAGGATTTCGATAGACTAACACAACCAAAAATTGACTGCTGCAACCAATTAAAAATGCTATGCCATATTTTATCATCTAATTTGCTGCAGCAGCCAATCTTTTTTTTCAGTGTGTAAAATTTATAAATTTATGAAGATTTATTTATTCGTTTTAAATTTAGGTCCGCCATACTCGATTCGTTATTTTAAATTTTACGATCTCACAAATTCATAATCATTTGGAAAACCGATAAAATCATGTATAAATCAATGCATATATGCAAAAATTATTTGCTTGATGGTCGTGATATTAAATCCATCATTTTACAAATTTCATGATTTTAATTTCAATTTTATAATCAGCGATCACGAAAACCCCTATATATTAAACATTTTTAGTCTAGAATAAAATTTTGGTGAATTAAAAAAATTCTACGACTCTCTAGAAGCTAAAGTGCTATAAAAATACGATTATTTTTCTTCTCATATCGGTAGTATATTTATCGTTAATTCATCGTTTCGCATAATATATGTTGTTGCGGTACCGAGCACGCGAGGACCAGAATTTTCCGCTTTCACATGTCATACGTAATATTCCATCCCTCCGAAGCGTTTCGTTCAATTCGAAACGGGGCTTAATTCATCGCATGTCCGCGTGCTTACGTGAATGCTTGCCTCGCGACACCATACCACGAAATCATCATGAAAATGCATACTTATACGATGCCATTTACCTATACGGCTTGACCGTGATGATGTTTTTCTTTTTCAGGTGAGAGCAACGCATTTGCGTTTAGTTTCCGAATATTCACACTATCGCTCTGATCCAGCAGTCGTTAGAAAGTTTCACTATCTCCAGAGAGAGTAAATGTCTGAAATTTAAGAAATCTCTTGATTCTCAAATTTTTAATTAAAAAAAAAGAAAGGGAAATATAATATAGCGTTTGAATGTGCGCGATTGGATCCAACGTGAAATTTTTATGTTAAAAATTCGAAAGTGATTTTTAACGAATGTTGTGATGTTTCAAGTTCACTTTGGACAGCTACTTCAAACATTTAAATTTATAACGTCAAATTATACCCATTATTTGAATTTTTTTTAATGGGTCGTAATCTTTTCTATGGGTCGCCACTGCTTTTATTCAATATGTCATTAATTTGATTAAAACAATGAAATTAAACAATTTAATTCAAGGAAATGTATTAAATTTGACACAAATTTAATTCATTATTTACCAAATATATATGTTAATATGGACGACGTTTACAAGGAAATGGATTGATTTACATTTTGATATATATGAAAGTTAAAAATAACAAATACTATTTAACTCAAGGGATTGCTATTGCTCCTTTGATATCTAACAGTAAAGCCAGCTAAAAGCCGCTCTCTAAAACTCTCGAGCTTGCACTTATGCTAACAGCTTGAAGGTAGGGCATACGTAATGCATTCGCGGTCGTCAAAGATCTGCATTTTCATTGTCAGTGTCTTTCGATCGACTTCGTGAGATCCCGCGTCGCACATCGTTTCTCATCGTCGCTAAAGCATCAAGTGCACGTCGAGCAAGTTTGAATTGAAACAGTTTGCACGCTCGTTAGGCTTAGGCCTATGTAAATACTTCCGGCACGAAAGTGCGCTTTCCTGCCGACGTATTCGAGTCTACCTACGCGAATTCTTATATCCAAGTTGGTTTAGCGATATGAGCTCACCGTGAGAAGTTGCTACAAAGACAGATGGGATTTTAGCTGAACGAGAGATCAAGATAGAAAGAACTTCTTATAAAAATATCACAATATCTTCGTAGTGCAGAAAGTTAAAAAACACGATTTTAATTCGATTAAAATGTTCGTATACTTTATAATCAACATAAATTAATGAGAGAAATTGGACAACCAAATTTGTCGAGTTTTTAAAACCGATTTGTCGAATTTTTATTTGCCACAAAAATTAATACCTTTAATTTTTCTTTAATTTTCAATAATTACAAAAGTTGCATTAGGAATATTCTTTTGTGTGTATGAATACTTTTCAGAGTTTTAATATTCGTTAAAAAAGTTGTTAATTTACAGAACATTATATAATCCTCTCAGAAAGTTCGTTTAACAATTTCGTTCTTTTCTCCGACCTAAAGCACACAGAGAAAAATTTTTTAAGAACGAGTTTACTGAAGTGCTTCAAAAATTTACAACATACAAATTTGAAAATAATTTTACTGGAACATCAAAATCATTATGTAAAATGTTTAAGCATTAATGATAATCTTACAAAAAGTTTTAATATTTTAGCATCAATTTGAGCATCCTGCATAATTATTTTGATAATTCGAACAAAATTATTTTCAAATCTATATCTATTTAAATTTTTAGATATTTCAGCAAAATCTTTTCGTGCATAAACTCCTTGTGTGAGAAAAGTATGAAAATATAACGGAAACAATTGTACCTCGTGAGAAAGCTGGACGCCTTACAATTAGAAATCGACGGTCCGCAGCGATATTCCTTGAGACTGGTGGATCTATCGATACCAGGAAGCCCATCGGTAAAAGCCGAGTTTAGGTTTGCTCCTTCCGTCCACGATTTACGATGAAACTCTTGAAAGGAACGCCTTTTGCTTCCGCGCTCGAAGGCAACATCTTCCTCTCCGCGTCTCTTGAGAACGACTCTCGTACGAGATTCCGAATCGATAGAAACGGATCTGTCTTTGGGCGAGTTATCCTCGCGAAACTTGTTCGAATTCGGCGGGGATTCGTAGACAGAATCGTCCGGCTGAGCATCGTACTCACTTAGCGTGACGGCTTTCGTCTCCTCCACGTCGCTTCTACCGTTCGCTTCCTCATTCGAGATCCTGGATGACGACTCAAAGGGGTAATTGACCCTGGCTTCTTCCCCTCCGATCAAGAGACTCGCGGGAGATATCATGCGATGCGGATCGATGTTCTCGTTTCTCGCGCGGTCGGAGTAGCTCGTCTCCACTTGGTCTTCGTTATCGTCGTGCTCAGTGAGAAAATCAAAAGCATTGTTTATCTCCCGCGTCTCATATGTTTCATCCTCATGCCTCAATGTCGAAGCTTCTCTCGTTCTTTCGCAGCTCGATATCGTCGCGTGATCCACCGTGTCCTGCTGAGTCTCTTCGTTAATGCCTGAACAGGTCCTGTGTATCACAGGTTCTAAATTCCTAGTAATGTCACGTACCCGCTTGATCGTATCCGACGAGACCACGTCGATCCTTTTGCGAATCGGTACCACTTGATCATGACCCAAGGTCACCAGGATATCACCATTATCGATGCTGTTCAGCACCCGCTCTTGCTGCCTGGTGAGGGAGAGTTTCTGCTCCAGTTTCGGAGGACACACGTCCAACAGATGCTCTTGTTCTTCGGATGTCGCATCATCCACAGTGACCCGCGACACACATACATCGTTTCCAAGATCAATCAGATCGCCGTCTTCATTGGACGCCATCTTACGACGATTTACACCTGCAAAATAAAGAGCGCTTCCGTTAATTGATATTAAACGAGTGACATTAATTGACATTAAACCGCTCAAGGACGTAAATCTTTCCTCATTGAATAGTTTAAAAATGATATAGTTAAGTTAGTAATATAAGAAATATGTTAAAGTATCTCCAATATCATCAGAAAGCTACAATTTTTATAACCCACACACATTCTAAATAAAAAATACATTTTCTATATATTTATTAGGAATTAATCTATTTCTTAGTGTTTATTAAGTACTTCCACGTTTCGAGTATTTGCAATATAAGCTAAAAGTGTTTAAAAGTATCGTGCACATATCGTTGATTCACGCGATTTCTAAGCGCTGACTGTAATTACTGATTTAAACGAACTATTACATCTCGAGAGTCACATCTGAGATCATCACAGTAACCGAGCGAAGTGTGTTATTACAACCTTATGAACCCATATCCTAGATTTGTCTGACCTATTCAAGAAATCTTTGGTCGTAAACCGGAGGAACATTCTCTCAACGATTGACCATTATAGAATCGCCTCGCTTGAACCTTTCACAAACATTAAACTCGCTAATTGATTGCGCTGTTTCTTTAATATCTCTCTCTCTCTTTCTCTTTCTCACTCTCTTACACTGTCTCTCCTTCACGTGCATGTTTCTGTATTTTTATTTTTAAGAATACGCTTTAGGGAAATTTATTCGTATAGACCGCGAAACAAACTCTCTGTTTCTTTCTTTTTCTCTCTCTGTCTCTCCATCTCATTCTCTCTCTCTCTCTCTCTCTCTCTCTCAATTTCTCTGCTTTACGTGCACGCGCGCGCGTTTTGTATTTTTATTTCTAAGAATGTTTTATTCCCATAGGAAAATTTATTTCTATAGGACGCAAAATAAACGATCTGTCGCCTGTCTCTCTGTCTCTCTCTCTCTCTCTCTCTCTCTCTCTCTCTCTCTCTCTCTCTCTCTCTCTCTCTCTCTCTCTCTCTCTCTCTCTCTCTCTTTGACCGACTCACCATTCCGTATATACCGAAGAAAGTTGTGCAAAAGTATGCCCGCCATATCGCGACCTTGTCACATTCGCAAAATCGTTCGCAAGCCCGTCCACATCAGGAACGACTGAGATCCGAGGAAAAGAAGACGACAATATCATCATAAGTGTTCGTAATCGTTGGCGACAATTAACGACAAAGTACTAATAAGTGAGCGATGTGCAATATTCAACGGCGAAGAATGACGGCGCGCGCGATCAGCTTTCATTTTTTACAACTTCACGACATATAAACTACCCGGTTTCTATTCTTTCGCAACTACCGAATGTATCGTCGGGAAATAGGGAGTTTTTGCAATAACGTGGATCCAGATAAGGTAAACGCTAAGTTACGTTATTTTTTTCTTAATTATTTATTAAGAAGAAGATAACGTGACTTTAGCGTTCATCGTACCTGGATAAACGATATTGCAAAAATTTCCTAATGTCGCGACGTCAACGCTGGCGTATGCTTAATGCATGACGACGTTTAAATATTTTGCAATATTACTTTGTACATGTGGAATACGTATTATGTCTTATCGTGCACGATACGTTTACGATTGAATTATTTTCCATCTAATTTCCAACAATGTCGATGCGGCAGGCTTTCTTAACAGTCGTTCTGACTTTTCTTCGCCATTTTTCAATTTCCCCAGCTTTCACCGATTCTCTCTGTATCAGGTTCGAAGCGGCTCTATATTATTAGTGTGTGGCAAAGTCTCTCCACTTATTGATGAGAAGTCCGAATGAGAAATCTCTTTTGGCTTTTTTCTCGAATGTCATTTCAGTTAACGCGAGTATCGAACATGTATTTTTCGGATCCATCAACAAGAAAGTTGCATCTACGAACTTGCAACGTATTTTTTTCCACTATCAGAAACAGAGTTGATAAGAGATAGTTTGTTTAAGAACAAAAGATTCTTAATAAAGAGTCAATAAACAGTCAAATTTTGTAACCAAAAATTATCATTTTGACTTGCATGATGTCAAAATAAAGTCAATTTAAACAAAGAATTAAAGTCATTTTGACTTTTTTTTTACTTGGCGTGTTCCTTGGATAAATGTATTTTTAAGTATCAAATGTGATGATGTCCTATAATATTATTGTAACTTAATTATGATTTTGTATTCTATCTAGGCTGATGAAAACGGCTTCCCTTTTCATTTTCTACGTGAACTTCAAAGAAAATTGAAGCGAAACCACAGTCAATACTCCTACTTTATTACGGTTCATAAACTACCGACGAATAATATCGAATAGTATCCCGGTTTTACCGCAGAATAATATCTAGTCACCGCAGAATAATGTCTAGTCACCGCGAATTAAGAGTGCACGCCGTACAAATAAGTCGCCGTTATATCGATATATGTATATTGATCGAATAATCGCTAATTCGTTAGCATACAACAGTGTCATAAGTTCATAACAACCTTGATATATTTCCGACTGTATACGTACCGTTTTTCTGACAAGATTAATTTTCCCCGATCCTCCAGCTAATTAACGTCCACGCGCTACGAGTTAATAATTCCGAGAAATTAACAAGCTAATTAGCGTCACTATATCCGGCGCTCAAACGTCCGCGAATAGCAACATAAATAAACTATAAATAATCCAATAAATAGCCTGAAGAAACGATGAATCCACGAGGCCGGCCGTTTCAGTCGTCGGCTTGGACTGATTAATTACCGTCAACGCACGTGTATACGTACGGGCGTTATGAGTTCACTTGACGTGCACACAAATTTATTCGTCGCCGTTAAACGCTTAGTTAGACCCCGTTCTCACGACCCGCGGCCGGCCAGAAAGCAAACAAATGATGTAATTGTATACAATTACTCGGCCGGCGGCTCTCTGTCATTCCGCTCACGTTTAACCGAATTAACAACAGTTGCCCCGTCGCTTGTCTACTCTCTATGTAAGTGCCAAGACGCTCCGGAATAACAGTGAGGAAACTAATTCGCGTGTATACTTCGAAAAGAAAGCGTCTTCAATTCCAAGTACAAGAAGATCTTTCCGTCGTTTTTAATGAAACTTAACGAACGAGAACACTCGTTGTTTTAAATTAAAAATTACAGATAAATTTAAAGTTCTTGTTACATCGTTACTGTCTTAAATTGTGACGTCAGAAGCGAGAACATAATACGCAAAATATATTAATATGGAAATACGTTTTAATGGCACAATTCACTTACAATCGATAGAATCGGCTTGTAAAAGCGAAAATTCTCCTTTTGTTATATTAATTAATGAATACTCATATGTCCGGAAATGAATTATACATAACCACAAACAAAATAAGCTGTGTGTTCACAGCTATGACAAAATGTCAAATTAATAATATAAGGAAATAAATATGATTTAATTTGTCTCCAAAACAAGATAATAGATTTTGGTATATTTTAACAGTTTATTCTATCTACTGCAAGTGTTGTTTTATTGAAAAATGTTTCTATTCAAATATAGTTTGCAAGAATTTTTATTATAGAGATGTTTTCTCGCTTTTAATGTCACATTCTGAGATAGTATAGTGATAAGTGGACAAGAGCCTTAATGAAAAGTATCATGATATAATTGATACATTAAAAAAACTAAGTTTTAATAAATACTTGTTCGAATAGTTCTAAATAAATATTCACTAAATGCAAACATATATTTAATACAAAAATTATTAATTTAATTCTAATTATAATTATCATTTTTTTTAGTAAATATTTATATAAATAATAAATTATTGTTAGTACTATTAAAAGAAATATATAATAAAATTTAATAAATTTTTTTCAGTGTAAAATTCCAACTTTTTTTCTAAATTCTAAAGAATCTCAAACTGTGTGTTTTTATTGAATATATTCCAAATATTTATATCATATTTTTCCATATTCACAACTCTAACGAGACCGTGATTCGTCGAAAAATGTTCTCGTTCTCTAACGTTATAAAAAAAATGTGATTAAACGTACCGCCTTGATGACAGATCGTCGTGTACTCGTGTAGGTACATCGCGCTCGTCAGATGCGAAAAGGTGCGACTGCCGGAAGGTTAAATATAATTATAATTTCTACACGTAAATTAAGAAAAATCATTAGCCGGTGAGAAATTGAAAAGCGCGCACGCAAGACATTCCGCTTAAAAACAATAGCAGAATCTTTGTTTCGCGAGACTACGAGACTCACAATACTAAACAATAACTAACGTTATAATTCTTGGAATATCATAAACGTGTTAATGGTGCAAACCAAGAGTTATTTTCCTGCGCCATTTACAGGCTTATTAATCATAAGTTGCAATACTAATCATTTACGAGTAGAATTCTAAATCTCGGCTAATACAGTTAATAACATGTGGCACGAAGAAAAAAACTTGTAAAGTTAACGAGTAGTTCAATGTTAAAAATTAGTTCCGGACATTAGCGATAATTATAATATCTTTCATTTTCCAATCAATAATACTTACTGTACAACTGTTGTAACATTCTGTACTGCATTTTATAGTTACTTGAATCATTTTTATGGTAATTTCAACTATTTTATGGTTATAACAACTATAATTATAGTCATTTTAGGTTGCCAATTATATACATTTGTTGCTGGAACTATATATATATAGTTACTGTTATTATTATTAATAATCATAATTATAGTAATATATAATTATAGTTATAAATACCAAACATTTTTCTCTCTGTGTGTTTTTCTTTTTTGCAATTAAAAAGAATTTATGTTAATATCGTGACACATTAAAGCAAAGGTCATCATTTTACATTTCATAAACATAAACATCGTCGTCGGAAATGTAGAAAGATGAAGATCCTCGTTATCCCCAAATAAAAAAGTAGGTCCGTACGCAGCGCTTTCACCGTATGAATTATAGTTTTGCGCCTATCCGCGAAAGTCCACTAACATCTAAGAGTAGCGTCTGATAGCTGAGAGTGAAGCGAATCGGTTAGATCTCCGATTCGACCGTCTCCAAGA